GAGAGAGCGAGAGAGAGCGACAGAGAGCGAGAGAGAGCAAGAGAGAGCGAGAGAGCGAAAGAGAGAGAGAGAGAAGAGAGAGAGAGAGAGAGATAGAGAGAGAAAGAGAGAGAGAGAGAGAGAGAGAGAGAGAGAGAGAGAGAGAGAGAGAGAGAGAGAGAGAGAGAGAGAGAGAGGGAGAGTGAGAGAGAGAGGAGAGAGCAGAGAGATAATAGAGAGAAGAGAGAGAGGAGAGAGAGAGAGAGAGAGAGCAGAGATAGAGGCAGAGAGAGAGAGGCACAGAGAGAGAGGCAGAGAGAGAGAGAGAGGCAGAGAGACAGAGGCAGAGAGAGAGGCAGAGAGAGAGAGAGGCAGGGAAAGAGAGGCAGAGACAGAGAGAGGGCAGAGAGAGAGAGAGAGACAGAGAGAGCAGAGAGAGCAGAGAGAGAGGCAGCTCAGTCACACTTAAATCCAGATTCGTCCTCACCGAGTCCCACCACCAAGGGAGCGCCAGCAAGGAGATGCACATATGGGGATTCCCACGCAGTGAATATTTTTTGTTTAAAAAAAACACCCAGGCATCACACACTTAAATCCAGATTCGTCCTCACCGAGTCCCACCACCAAGGGAGCGCCAGCAAGGAGATGCACATATGGGGATTCCCACGCAGTGAATATTTTTTGTTTAAAAAAAACACCCAGGCATACGCAACTCTACTGAGATCTCGAATATAATGACGAGTAGGACCCATACATACAAACGTCCAGACCCTTAAGGTCCACCGAATCCCACTTGTATTTCCTGGCCATGGGGATCAAACAAAACAGGGTTGGGTTGAAGCTCGCGGCGGGCAGGGTTGACCCAGGGTGGCCCCGCTTGAGCTCGTCCCAGAAGCAGCGGTCCTCGCTCTCAATCGCCTCGCGTAACCATTCTGGGTGGTCAGCTGCAGCATAATCCCGAGCCTGAACAGCTTCTGGATGAGGGCAGTCCCACCCGCGATGCCTGACTCCATCAAGGGCTCCACATAACGGGCGCCTGCCATCGCAATCGCAGCCTGCAGCTCGCGCCCTGGCGCGCGCCCAGACACCCCCACAAAAGGCCCCCGCGGCCAAGCTTCCCCCGAGGACTAAGCTTTCAGGGGCCAGGGCCCAAGAGCCGAACCAGCAGCTCCGCGCTCGCCCTCGCCCTATCGAGGAGGAGGAGGAGGAGGAGGAGGAGGAGGAGGAGGACCCCCGCGCTGATCTTGTCAGACCACGCAAATCGGCGCCTGCGGCGGGTTTGCTCGCATTGGTTTGGGAAAGCGCCCTCGTGCCATTCCCCCGATCCGGCCCACGTTGACTCTACAACTGCACATCGGCGCCTGCGGCGGGGCTGATGTAGGACGATGAGGACGAGGACGCGGACGAGGAAGAGGAGGAGGAGGAGGAGGAGGAGGAGCAGGAGCAGGAGGAGGAGGAGGAGGAGGAGGGCGCCATCGACAGGGAAGGTGAGGGCCACGAGGTCCGCCGGCTCGACGCCCGAGTCGCCCGCGCCCGCCCCCTCACTCTTATCCGCGATTGCGGGGTGCGACGTATGTATACGCATGTACTCAGATGTACGTCCCCTCACAAACATGTACGCATCTTGACAGATCTCGAAGAGACATACAATGCTATATGTACGCGTAGGGGTATATAGCAGAGAGAGAGGGAGTGACAGAGAGAAAGAGAGAGGGAGGTAGTGAAGGTGAGCGATGGATCGCGGCCCCCCGTACATATACAGGCGTGTTAAGTAGGTCTATGAAATACGTGAAAGAGGCGACATATACCTGTATATATACATATATATACATATGTTTGTATACATACCTACATATACCGATACATGCCATAAGTCTACATATGTGTATATATATATACATACATATATATATATATATATATATGTGAAAGAGCGTGTTCTACCGCTGCTGGCGGAAAACGGGGGGGGGTCACTACCGGTTCGAACCCCTCCCCCCCCCCCCTCCGGAAAACCGGGGGGGGGTCACTACCGGTTCGAACCCCTCCCACCCCCTGGCCCCCCCCCTGCTCATCATGAAAAGGGGGGGGGGGTCACTACCGGTTCGAACCCCTCCCCCCCCCCCCCCCCCCCTCCGGATCCGGAAAACCGGGGGGGGTCACTACCGGTTCGAACCCCCCCCCCCTCGAAAACCGAGCGGGGGTGCGGACAGTGGTGGGGACGGTGTTGGTGGGGACAGTGGTGAGGGGATAGCGGGACAGTGGTGGGGACAGTGGGACAGTGGGACAGTGGTGGGGACGGTAGTGGTGGGGACAGTGGTGGGGACAATGGTGGGAACAGGGGGGACAGTGGACAGTGGTGGTGACGGTGGTGGTGGGGACAGTGGTGTGGGGACAATGGGAATGAGGTGGAAACAGTGGGACAGTGGAGGGTACAATGGTGGTGGGGACAGTGGTGAAGGCGGTGGCGAGGACGGCGGTGGGACAATGGGACAGAGGTACAGTGGGGACAGTGGTGGGGACAGTGGGGACAGTGGTGGGAACAGTGGGACAGCTCAGTGGGACAGCGGAGGAGTCAGTGGGACAGTGGGGACAGTGGGGATAGTCGGGCAGTGGTTGGGGCCGTGGAGACAGTGGGGAGAGTGGAACCGTGGTGGGAACAGTTCTGGGGACAGCGGGGACAGTGCGACAGTGGTGGGGCCACTGGTGGGGACAGTAGGGGCGGTGGTGGAACCAGTGGGGACAGCGGTGGTGAGGACAGTGGTGCTGGGAACACCAGTGGGGGATGTGATGCGGACGGTGGTGGGGACCGGGAGTCGTTTGCTGGCGGTGAGTAGGGGGGGGGGGGGGGGGGGGGGGGGGGGGGGGGTTCGAACCAGTAGTGACCCCCCCCGGTTTTCCAGGGGGGGGGGGGGGGGGGTTCGAACCGGTAGTGACCCCCCCCGGTTTTCGAGGGGGGGGGGGGGGGGGGGTTAGGGGAGGGGGGGGGTTTTGCGGGGAAGGGGGGGGGGGAGGGGTTCCAGCAGGGGGGGGGGATTTTCGGAGGGGGGGGGGGGCGACCCCCGGGTTCCGGAGGAAAAGGTTGGCAATTTTCCACAGTAAAGCGGCGGTGGATCACGCTCTCTCTCTCTCATATCATATATATATTATATATATATATGTATATTATATATATATATATATATATTATATATGTGAGTATGCGCATAAACTTATACACAGACACAGAGATATCAACAAACAAGAGACACCATCAAAACAATCAGATGGAGAGAGGGAGAGAGAGGAGAGAGAAAGACAGAGAGATAAAAAGAGAGAGAGAGAGAGACCAGGAACCGAGAACTCGGAACTAGGAGCCAGGAACCGCGGGAATCCAGGAACCGGGAACCGGGATTTGGGAACCTCGAGCCGGTGTGGAAGTGGGAACAGCGGGAATTGGGAACCCAGAACCGAGAGTTAGGAACCAGGAGCCGGGAATTTGGAACCAGGAACAGAGAACCCGGAACCGGGAACGACGGGAAATTGGGATTAGTGGATGATCGGGAACCAGGAACCGAGAACCGAGAATTGAGCCAACAACCCGGAACCTGGAACCTGGAACCCGGGAGCCCGGAACCGGGAATGAGGAATTTGGAACCGGGAAGCGGGAACAAGGAACCGGGCGCAGGGAACCCCGAGCCGGGAATTTGAAGCCGGGAGGGAACCGAGAGCCGAGAATTGGGAGTTGGGAGTTGGGAGCCAAGAGCCTGGAACCTGGAATGAGGAGCTGGGAGCCGGAAGGTGCGGCCGCTCGATTTGAAGTGTTGCCGCTCGCAGTGGCGTCCCATCTCCCTTCGTGCTCTTCTGATGGTTTTCTTGCCAGAGAGGAGAGTGCGGAGGGCGGAAGCGCACGAGAACCCTGACCTGCTTCAGACATCCGATATGGCGCCGTCAATGTTGTTCGCGTCACGGCCAACACGGGGTCACGGCCAATGCGTGCTTTACATTGTAACGGCAGTCACGGCCAACACGGGGTCACACAGCCTTGTTGGGTCACGGGGCCACCATGGGAGCACTTCAGCCCCGTTGGGCTCCCGAGGGCTCTCGAGAGGGGTCACGCAACATGCCCGTCAACATGGGTGTGTGACCGCCGCAAGTTGGCAACGCTACAAAATGCGGCCATATCTTGAGTTTCTCAATGCGGCGGCCCCAGAAGTCTTGACCTTTTCCCCAGGGCTGGCTCTTCATCTCAGTTGGTTTCAACGCTCCTGGGGCCCCGCAATGGCCCCTAAAGGCAGAAAACCGATAAGCAGATCCGCTCCGCATTGGACTTCTCGAGACGTTGGAGGTCTGTGGAGAAAGAGAGTCAGTAATTTACGCAATCCCTATCCCCAAACCGATCCCCACCATCCCACCACCCCAGTTGGGGATATGCCCCTCGAATCCCGAATGGGACAGTCTAGGGAGGGAAAACGGCCAGTGAGGCCCAGGCCACGCCGGTGGGGATAGGGATCCGTCCAACGATGCTCAAGAGGGTCCACGGAGGAGTCGCGTTCCAGAGCCTCTCACAACGTTCCTTGGCGCCTTGGGCCGGCCCCACGGAACCCCATGCATTTCCCCCACGGTCGCCGGCTCTGGCAGATCCTTGAGTGATTCGGACCGGGCTCCATGGAAGTAAAGCCGTCAGGGGCAACGTCAGGGAGGGACAGCTTCAGGCGGGGATACATCGACCCCCAATCGCCTGTTGATCGCCGAGAGGGGCGTGATAGCCCAACCCCACCCAGGACTCTGCGGATTCGCTGCCGGGGAACTATCGCTGGTCCATCGGCGACGTATCGCCGATCCCAGGTCGATGTTTTCCCCTCGCCCCCAAGAGCTGGTCCCCCCCTGACGTTCCCCCTGATCATGATCCAGGGAAGGAGAAGTCCTCCCACCCCACCCCGCCCGCACTTCTGGGTGCGTGGTCGCATTCCAGGTGTGGACTCCAACGAGATTGTCAGATCCGATTTGAAGCTCCAGTGTTAGTTTTTTCATTCGCTATCGTGGCCCTTTGTTGGGGTGGTGTCCTTCGCCTCTTTTTGGCCCTTAGTTTCGCGGGCGTCTCGGGCGCGATGGTTCCACCGAGCTCTCCCGAATGGGACGGGCTGAACCATCTTGGAGCCGTCTGGGCTCAAGCTATGTTGGCTCAAGGCAAATCATACCAAACACATTTAGAACACATCCAGATGTGCTATTCATGATGTTTAGTTTGCTTTCAAAGTGGACGCCATCAAAAACATATGGGCTTCTTTGCGGAAGTGTGGTTGCTACTTTCGGCTGCGATTGGCACCATGGGAGCCGCAAGTTCCACGGCCACGAGTGCTCAGAACATCCAGAGAGCAAAAAGTCCACCGCATCTCTTGAATTGAGCCGACCGTTCCGCGAGGTGAAGTTTGGAGATTCGTCGAGTCTCTTTTTCCGCAACAGCGTCATCTTGGTTCCCGATCTGTTCTCGAAAGAAGAGTGTGAATCCCTGAGAGATGCGGCGGAGGTGGGTGTCCAGAAAGGTGCCGGCCTTCTCAGGCCGGGCGCGTCGAGGGAGGACCCGTGGAAGGCGATCCGGCGTTATGCTGCAAAACGCGGTTTGGGATACGTTTCGCGGCCCGAGTTACTGGAGCGAATTCCAATCCGCAATCTGGACGCCGAGGTGCAAGATCTGTCCGCGGCGCTGCTGCGGAACAGGGTTCTCCCCTTCATCGAGAGAGAGCTCCCAGAGATTGCGGAGACGCTTTTCGGGTCAAGGTCTGGTCTCCAGAACATGGATTTTTGTTTCTCGCCTGACGAGCCGGCGATCAATCGGTATGTGGAAAATGGGGAATTTCGTGTGCACACTGATGATCGCAGTTTCACCGTGTACGTTTTGTTGTCTGAACCTGGTGCTTTCGCAGGGGGCGGAACTGCCTTCTGGGCTCAAGACCTCAAGCCTCATGAGGTAGGCGACCGTGCAGCCGACATCGTTTTGCAGCCAGGTCAAGGAGTAGGTGTTATTTTCAATGGGCGAGTAAGCCATGCAGGCGGGGTCGTGACATCTGGTATAAGGCATCTTTATGTTGCCAGTTTCGATTTGCAGCCTACTATGTAATTAACAACAATCACGTTGACCATTCCCCTCCCTGGATCATGACCATGACCGCCGGGCCCTTTTTCGGCCGCAGGCTGGTAGGGCCTTGCGAGTGCGCACCGTGATCTTGCCGTCCGCGGATGGGGAAGAAAAGCGCACTCATTCGTTAAGCATTAGCCGTTGTCTGTCTCGAAATGGCGCGACGCCCATAGGAAATTGATGAATGTGGTGCATCGAGTACTCAAACAAACAGAACCCCGGCGAGCACTCCGCAGACGGGGATCAGTGCATCGTGGTGCTCATGTCATTGAGCATTCGATCCATGGGAACCGTTAGGGTTATGAAGGTCTGGTCTTTTCAGGCTCTTTGTGCTCCGATAGCGGCTTGAAGGCGCCCTCATGGCGCCTTTCACAGGCCTCCACTGGCGTGGGGCTGTCTGGCGCTGGCATGCGCACCTCCACAGGTTGACAAGACAGCACGCGAACTCAAAGACTCACTCGGGCAGACACGTGCGCGCGGTGTCCGCGTCCTCCTCTCTGCCTTGTCATCGTTATCATCCTCTCCCTCCCTCCCCCCTCCCTCCGCAGTCCCCGCATTCCGCCTTTACTACCTCCGCTCTCGCCTCCAGACGAACAGGTGCATGCGCGCACTTGGCCGAAGGGCGATTAGGGGCTTCACTCGCCGGGGGCCCCGAGTGACCGGCGAATTTCTTCGGAAGGGAGCTTCGGGGCTGCAGAGTGGGACGCAGAAACACATCCTAGTACTATGCGCTCCCCTTGGAGGCGCACGTCGGAACTGTGGGCCTTGATGGGGCAAATTGGGCTCACGAGTTGTCCAGGGGAGCCGTATCTGCGCCCTCTTGAGCTATTCTTCGCCCGTTGTATGCTTCGGGGTAGGTGTTGAGATCTTGGCTGCCTCTGGGGCCCTTGTGAAGTCACTCGCGGGGCCTTGTGGGGCACTCCTTGTGGCCTCTTGGTGTGTTATTCGGTCGCTTCGAGCCGGCCCAGGCTGCGATGGTATTTATTTGAGCATCCTAGAGGTGATCTCGGGTTGAAATGTTTGGGAAACGACCTCGGCGGCCTTATCGGCGCGTCGGGATCGCGATGCTGCGCGTTGGCGGCTACTTGACCCCGCTATCTCAACAGTTCCGCGTGGCGGTGCCTCCGTCGTTGGGTAAGTTGTTCTTTCCCGTGGCTTCCGTTAATGTCTTCAGCCTCGTCTATTCCGTTGCGCGCGGCCCGCAGTATCCCGCAGTCCATTCATGGTCGCATGGCAAGCTTCCTGAGCACATGTATGTTTAGATCCGCTCTCCTATGCTATCCCCGCAACGCCACCTCTGCACGTGCTGCATGTACGGCTCGCTTTCCGCATACATTTCACATTCACGCTTTTTCGCATACATTTCTCGTTCGAATTGTATCCCCGCATGTTTTTGGCGTTCTGCTGGTGCAAGCGAGCGCTTCAGGTTATCGGATCAAGCTTGGGAAGGTCATAACCACATTCGAAGACTCCGCGGGGGTGGTAATCGCGCGCGGCGCTCTTGTATGAGGCAAGCAGCTCGTTACACATTCCTTGCTTGTGCACCCTCGACGTGCACGGCGTGCTCGCTGAAACTGACCGCGGACATGCGACCCAGGTCAACGCCAAATATTACAAGACATAGACCACGTGTGTAGCGCGAGAAAAAATGAGCCGTCTTGGCGGGGCCTCTGGGGCCGTCTTGGAGCCCTTTTGGGGCGGTAGTGGGGCGTCTTGGGGGGTTCTCGGGCTGGGCCGTGTGGGGGCCCTCTTGAGGCTGTCTTGGGAGCTTCTTGGGCTTCCTGAAGCTCTCCTCGACCATCTTAGGCTTGCCGAGTTCTGCCACAAGGCCCTTCCCCTAAGCCTATGTCATGGCTTTCCCCGTAGGCTTATCCCTATTATTTATTGGTATATACCCCCAGTCTCGACCGCAGCCCGACGATAGGTTTCCAATCACCTCAATTGGGCATTGGGCGATGGGCAGTGGCAATGCTGAAAATATCAATGGTGATGATATTGTGCCAGGGGCTGTGCTGTGCTGCTCTGCGCTATGCCGCGCCGCACAATGGCGTGCCAGGAGACGCGCCACTGAACGTGCCATTGAACGTGCCAGGGGACGTGCCAGAGGACGTGCCAGCGCGCCGCGCGATGTGCCAGGGGGACGCGCCACGGAACGTGCCAGGGGGACGCGCCAAGGAACGTGCCAGCGGGCGGGACGTGCCAGGGGACGCGCCGCGCGACGTGCCCAGGGGAGGCATCAGGGAACGTGCCAGGCACGTATCAATGGTGATGTTACCGTGCCAGGGGCTGTGTTGTGCTTCTCTGCGCTGTGCCGCGCTGCACGGTGACATGCCAGGAGATGCGCCACGAGACGTGCCAGGGGGATGCGCCGCCGAACGCGCCAGGGGGACGCGTCACAGAACGTACCAGCGGACGTGCCAGGCGATGTGCCAGGGGACGCGCCGCGCGACGTGCCCAGGGGAGGCACCAGGGAATCTGCCAGTTACGTATTAATTGTGTTGCTACCGTGCCAGGGGGTTGTGGCGTGTTTCTCTGCGTTGTGCCGCGCTGCACGGCAAAACGCCAGGAGATGCGCCACGGGACGTGCCAGGGGGGACGTGCCAGTGGTGACGTGCCAAGGGACTCGCCGCGTGATGCGCCAAGGAACGTGCCAAAGGGGACGCGCTGTGGAAAGTGCCAGCGTGCCTGCGGACGTGCGAGGTGACGCGCCAGGGAGCGTGCCAGGGCATGCGCCGCTCGACGTGCCCAGGGGAGGCGCTCGGGAGCGTGCCAGGGAACCCGCCCGAGGGTCACGATCCCTCGTGAATTGCGCTGCGTCCGCGCGCCCAGGGCCACGAAGCATTCTGCAGAGGATGCCCAGAAGAGCCCCGCCCTCTCCAGAGCAGACAGGCGATCTCTTTTTAGACTGGGATGTGATGTATTCGGGTGGCGCTTTTCGCCCTCCTCTCCCCCCCGCCCTCGCCGCATTCGGCGCTGGATCCGAAGGCGCGAATCCTTGTAAATTGCGCTGCGTCCGCGTTCCCAGGGCCACGATCTATTGTGAATTACGCGGCATCCGCGCTCCCAGCTCCCAGGGCCAGGATCCCTTGTAAATTACTGCGTGTCCGCCCAACTCGATGATTCATCATACTTTGTTGTCCCGCCCGCCCGACCCGACACGCCCCCGGCGGGGAAGGGACAGGAAAAGGATTTCCCTTCGACGTAATTGCGACATTGTTCGATCTCCCTCACGACACCGACGATTGAAAGGATGCTAGCGTACTTCAGTTTGGGCTGGGTTGGCCTCACGTCGAAGGGCTTCTCACACACGCCGATTGGGTCGGCGGATTTGAAGCCTACTGGGGGCCTCTCGAGAGCTTCTTGGGGACAGTTGCGAGTCTCGGGGCCGTCTTGTGCTCGATACCTATCCGAGGCTCTCCGGATAAGGTTCGTTTGGGCCATTTTAAAGCCGTCCAGGCGTGTCTTTGGACGGTCTGAGGCCACTGGGGGGTGCTCTTGGGTTGCTTTTAGGCAGGCTTGGGGCGCCCTTTGGGGGCTGCAGGAAGCTTTCCCGAGGAGACACGAAAACGAAAATATCTTGTGACAGCAAATCTAAAACATTGTGTTTTGTTGTGTTACTACGTTTGGCATTTGGGGACCTCGCTGGAGGTTTTCGTTCGACGTCCCTTGTTCGCTTCTTGAGACCTCTTGGTAACATGTTGGAGCCCTTTCGGTAGCAACGCATGGGAGCCTCGTATGTCCTCGCAACTCCATCTTTAGAGTGCATTGGCGTGCGCCAGCGTCTGGTAATCGATGACAGAGATCCGATTCAGCGTCGATTAGCGTTGGCCAGCGTAGGTTCGCAAGGGCCAGCAAGACGGCACGGGAGGCCCCCATGAGTTGCCACCGAAGGCCTTTGGAGAGTCATGTTGCCGATTGGGGCTCGTCCTGGACATCTTGCGGCCGTCTTGGGGTGGCGGTGGGGAGCACGGGCAGTGGCAGCATCGAGCGGCAGCAGCAGCAGCAGCAGCAGCAGCAGCAGCAGCAGCAGCAGTGCAGCAGTGAGTCCAGCCACTGTCTGGACCTCCCTCGCTCCTAGGCGTGCATGGGAGGATGGAGGATTGGAATAATGGGGGATGAGGAGGAGGGCGAGGAGGTGAGCGGGAGCAGGAGGGGGAGGGGGAGGGGAAGGAGGGGGGAGGAGGAGGAGGATCAGCACAGCAGGATGAGGACCAGGATGGGGCGGAGGTTGCGCTGCGACGGACCCGCGATTGGCCAAGCCGAGAGGGCGGCTATTCTGCCGCGAGGTCGGCAGTCCTCCAGATGTGCACCAATCAACGATCTATTCGAGAGCCCAGAGAGCGTCGACGCTGACGCCGCCACAAGAGCGACGTGGTCGCAATCGAGAGGAGCAGCGCTTCTGCTGGCAGCAGGGCCGACCCTTCGCGCCTGAGCTCGAGCCCCCCCCTCTCGAGAAGCTCTTGGAATCCCACCGCAGCAGACCTCCGACAACATTTTACCACCCACTCCCCCCGCCGAGAACATTCGAAACCTCATTGTTCTCATCCCTCTATCTCTATTGCTCGTCGTCTCTCCACTCCCCCTCATCCACCTCATTCCTTGTTGAACCTCCAAGGGGTGGGCCCCCCCCCAGAACGCCCCGAAAGTCTTTAGAGTGTTTAAAACCAATATAGTATAGCCTCCTGGTGCAAGTATACACCCTCCTTCCCATCCCCCTCGTCCTCCTCCTCTTCCTGCTCCTCTGTCCTCGAAACCGACCCCTGGACCTCTCCTGGAGAGCGTTGTGATTTGAATTCAGACGAAGCGTATACGCAGATTGTGCCATCCATCTCCATGGTATTCGTCTTATTAGTAGTATTATTGATCTGATTAGTATTACTCTTATTATTAGTATTGTTATCGTTCTGATTCGCATTCTGATTCTTAGTATTCTGATTACTAGTATTTTTTGACATTATTAGTAGTAGTATTAGTCGTAGTATTGCTAGTGTTATTATTAGTATTAATCTTTTTCTTCTTCTTATAAGCATGCGTATTATGATGTGGATTCTTCTTTCTCTTCTTAATAGTAGCATGGTTCCTCGTTCTCCTCCTGCTCCTGCTCCTGCTCCTCCTCCTCCCCCCCATCCGCCTCACTCCTCGCTTTTATTCATGCTCCTCCTCCTCCCTTCTCCTCGCTTCACGTGTTCGCTGTTGCTTCTCCTCCTGCTCCTGCTCCTCCTCCTCCTCCTCCTCGTCCTCCTCCTCCTTCTTCATTTGTTCGCTGCTGCTGCTGCTCCTCCTCCTTGTCGTCCTCCCCCTACTCCTCCCCTTCCTCTTCCTTCCTCCTCCTTCTCCCCCTCTTCCTCCTCCTCCTCCTCCCGTTGCTCGTCTTTCTCCTGCTTCTTCGCCACCTCCATCCGCCACCTCGGCCTGCTCCCACTCGAAGCCTGTTTCACCTCGCCGGGTCGGTGTTCTGGCTCAAAGCTGGTCAA